TGCATTCCACCCTGGGATCTTTAGCTCTCTTAATTATTTAAAAAATTACCCATGTTGGGGTTCACTCTTGGAGCTATAAAATCCTATGTGTTTTGACAAATGCCTAGGTCATGAATCTACTGATTAGAGTATCAGAGAGAAATTTCTCTGTGCTAAAAAATTCTGTTCTCCATCTTGCAAACATTCCTCTTTCCTCTCCACTGCTTGGCAACCATTAATTTTTGTCGTTTCCAGAATATCATATAGCCAGAATAGCTAAGAATGGCTCCTTTCACTCAGTGATATGCATTCATGTCCTTGCATGAGCTAACAGGTTTTTTTCAAACTTACCACTAAATAATTTTCCACCATATCCCCATATTTAGTTTGTTTATCCATTCACCCTTTGATGGGCATCTTGGTTGCTTCCAGTTTTGGGTAATTGTGAATAAAGCTGCTATAAACATTTGCTTGCAGGTTTTAATGGGGACATAGTTTTCAAATCCGTTGGGTAAATACCTAGGAACACAAATGCTGGATCATATGCTAAAGCTATGTTTAATCTTTGTAAGAAACTGCCAAACTGCCTTCCAAAGTAGCTGTACCATTTTGCACTCCCACAAGCAATGAATAAGAATTCTTGTTCTGCATTCTAGCCAGCAATTGGCACTAACAGTTTACTGGATTTTATCCATTGTAATAGATGTACAAGGTCACTCATTCTTTTATTTTTTTCATTTGTTTAAATCACCATCCCTAATAACAAGAGTGCAAAACATCTTTTTCATATGCTTTTTTTTTTTGCCATCTGTATATCTTCTTTGATGAATTCTCTCTTGAGATGTTTTTGCTCATTTTTAAATTGGAATGTCATTTTCTTAATTTTGAATTTTGAATTATTTGTATATTTCAGGCATCAGTCTTTTATCAGATATATGTTTTGCAGATATTTTCTCCAGCCTATGTCTAGTCTTTTCATTCTCTTAATAGCCTTTATGCAGAGCAGAAGTTTTTAATCCTGTTAAAGATTTATTTATTTATGCATACAGAATTGGGGTACAGGCCAAAAGTGCAGGCTTGTGAGAGGATTAACCAGGGACAGAGTGGGGAGCAGAACAGGCAGATCGACGAAGTACACTGCTGAGGGGAGCAGCCTGCGAGACAGGAGAGGTCTGTTGTGCCATGTGGATCACCTCTGGGGTCCGGAATTGAACTCACACTAAAATGGCTGTGGCTAGCTTGCAGTGCTGCGTCCTAACCCACTGCACTACCAGGGAGGGCCAAGATTTTTAATTCTAAGAAAAGTCAACTTAGCATATCTTTCTTTCATAGATTTTGCATTTGGCATATTCATTGCCAAACCCAAAATGACCTAAATTTTCTTCTGTTTTCAGAAATTTTATGTTTTTTGTTTGTTTGTTTGTTTGTTTTACATATAGGTCTATCATCTACTTTGAGTTCATTTTCATAAAGGATATAAAAGCAGTACATATAACAGATTAGTATGTTTGCATATGGACATAAAATTATTCTAGTACTAGTTTTGAAAAGACAATCCTGAATCAATTGCTTTAGCTTCAATGATCTGTTGACCATATTTGTGTGGGCCTATTTTGTTCTATGGCTTTACATATCTATTACTTTGCCAATACAATGCTATTTTGATTATGGTAGCTTTATAGTAAGCTTTAAAATCAGTTAGTGTGTCTTCCAACTCTATTCTTTTTCACTATTGTGTTAACTCTTTTAGGTCTTTTGCTTTTCCATATGAATTTTAAAATTAGTTTGTTGGAAAGCAAAATAAAAACATGATTATGTTAATAGATGCTAAGAAAGTATTTGATGAAGTCCAACATCCATTTGTGATGACGGTCCTCGAAATTCTTGGGATAGAAGGAATATAACTTAACATAATAAAAGCCAGAGATAACAACCACACAGCTAATATTCTTAATGTTGAAAAACCTGGAAGCCTTTCTTTTAAGATCTGGAACAAGATCTTAACCACTCTCACCACTGCTTTTCAACATAATACTGGATATCCTAGCTAGAGCAATTAGACAAGCAAAAGACATATAAGGAAACCAAATAGGGAAATAAGAAGTAAAATTATCACTATTTGCAGATATGATAATATAGAGAGAGAACCCTAGAAACACCACAGAAAAACTAAATAAAATTACTTTGATGATATTTGGAAACTAACTTGCTGTGCTTTTGATTGAAATTGTAGAATTCTGCAGTAGAAAATATAGAAAGAAGGATGGAAATAGAAAGTCACCAGTTGGCAAGCATCACACTTATAATTGCTGCAGGCAAGAATCATTGATGGATATATTAAAACTCGAGACAAGAAACAGATGTCTGCATAATCTGAAAGTATCTCCCCACAAAATACTTATCAATTGAAATAGGAAGAGGAAAATAACTTTGGAGTGAAGAAACTTGGTTGACACTTCAATCAAGTGATCAAAATTAAAAATCACTAGTAATGGGGCATGCTGACATCAGGTAACCCTTGATATCATGCACTGAGAAGGCCACATCATTCCTGGTTTAAATATTGTATGATATGTAAGATGCTAACATTAGTAGAAGTGTGCCATGGGCGAATCTCTTTGCAACTCTAAATTATTTGAAACAAAATTTAAAAAAAAAATAGAGAAGTTGAAAGAGACATCATTTATAGTAGTAAGAAAATGTAAACTAGGGTAAA